ACCCAGAAATAGTCACAACTACAGATAGAAATTTAGATTATGAGAAAGGTAGTGTTCTGAAATAGGATAGATGTTGGTGAAAAACCAACATTATGATCAACAAAGTTCTAGTATAGAAAAAGCATGCTCTTAACATGGGCATCACTCTTCACGACCGTGAACTTCTGGTTATGTGAGTCCACATTCTAACAACATTGAGTTATTTAGGGGGAAAAGCCAATATCAAGTATTTTTCATAGGAACAATTGAATATAAATGGCTTATATATCATAAATCAGTTTTATGTGAAAGAAACCCAGGCCTCTTCCAGCCCCTTGCTCCTCCATTAATTCAGTATTGGCATATTTATTGGCTGTGGAGACTCTTGTGAGATCTTCTGTTTTCCCACACACATCCACAAAGTTATATATGCAGCTAGAACTCACTCAGAGTACAGCCTTCACTAGCATTAAGAGAAGTGTATATTTCCAAAAAAGTAGTTTATTAGTGACAATGGTAAAGTAGTTCAGATTTAAAGGCTCTAGGGGCTTAGACAAAGCCAAATTTGAATTCTTACTTGAATTCCTATTATATTTGAGGCCTCAAGCAAATGATTTTATTTTCAAAGCCTTAATTTTCTCATCGACACAATGGGACTATCCACTTGGTGAATTTGCTGAGAAATAATGAAAACATTTTGCATTCTTAAGAATGCATTCAAATAACTACAACAAACAATGAATGGCAACAAAAACTTAAAAGAAACCGAAACAAATTAAATCTATGTCAAATTAGTAATACTATTGTACAGAAAAAAGAAATATAAGTGACTAAAATACAGTGGTTTCTTACTGGTTTTTTTATGTAAAGCCAGTGTATTCTATAGAAGAAAAACATTTGCAAGCAGTCAAAAACAGTATGTGGCAGTCTTTTCAGTTATCATATTGGTAAAGACATTTTGAAATTATTTTATGCATGCTGTAGAAAAAAGTAAATAAGCAGTTGCATTGGTATCACAAGAATTCAGTGTACAAAAAAGATCCAACTAGAAAAATAAAAGTATTTAGGATTAAAAGCCCATCATTTTAAACTTGAATTGAAATACAGAAGTATAGCCTTTAAAATGACACATGTATTTCTTAGCGAGATACACCAAAAGTTATAGAAACAATGGCCTTCCAGTCTAATAAACACCACCAGTCTCTACATTACCATTTCAAATATTAACGGTTATTAATGGCAACCAGGATTCCTTGGAGAAGTAAGTAACTTCAGACAGAGCAGGAAGCATTACACACACACACACACACACACACACACACACACACACACACCCCATTAGGATAATTTGTTGTGCCAGATCACAAAAGAAGCTATAAAACAAAACTTAGATGGAAATAGTGTGTAAAGGACTCAGGAATCAACTCAAAGGTGTTTCCACTGGCAATTTTAAATTTTGAAATGATAATGACAGGTTTAAACAGAAATATGGTAATGATTGCTATAGATGGAAAAAAAATCAAATGTCAAAGATTGCTTGAATTTATAATTTTATGTGAAAAATTATGGTCACAATGAAAGATTATCAGAGACAAAACTGATTAGCCTGAAAATTCAGAAAGTTTAGTAAAAATCAAACATTTGTTCTGCCTTCTGTTTGTGAATTTCATTTCAAAGAATTTGAAGCGTTCACAAACGAAGGTTTGGGGGGACAATCCCACCCAGTAAATGCAGAAAGAATGATAGGACTAGAAAACTTCCATTTTCCAAACCTTAATAATATAATGGAGCTAGGCAGGAAGCATCAATTGATTTTAAAACCATTAGGGGAAACTTTGATGAGGAAACTTCTATTACAAGGACCAGGCTGATGGCATCTGAATCCATGAAATAATCTTAGTTATGTAACACATGGGGCAACTCAGGATTATTTACCACACTGGGAGATAAAATATTGGCAACAAAACCGCATCATGAAGGTTTCTTTGACCAAAAACAAACAGAGAGAACCTGAACATAATCAATCCTCTATATGGACTATCAGTTAACAGGAAATTTAGGGAGTAGGGGAACAGTTAAACAATACTCTGAGGAAGCAATCACGGTAATATAGAATGTAAGGCTTTAAGAAAAACAAATGACTATTTTCTTTGACAAATCATGGCATGAATAAAACAGAGAGGAAGTGTGAAAAAAAGTATAAAAAATAAAGATGATCAGTTTCACAACTGAATATAATTTAGAAATTCATATAAAAGGCATACATTTTAAAATCTCCATATATACAGAAATTAAAGATAAACTATTCATTGCTAAGATATTTTAGCTAAAAATATCAGCTATTTAGAAATACATGATAGTGAAATTATTGTGTACCAAAAGGTCTGGGAAGTCAGTAAATCAAGAGACCAATTTAAAATGATAGGAGCAGGGGCGCCTGGGTGGCTCAGTCGGTTAAGCATCCGACTTCGGCTAAGGTTATGATCTCACGGTCCCTGAGTTCGAGCCCCGCGTCGGGCTCTGTGCTGACAGCTCAGAGCCTAGACCTCATTTCAGATTCTGTGTCTCCCTCTCTCTCTGCCCCTCCCCTGTTCATGCTCTGTCTCTCTCCGTCTCAAAAATAAATAAACGTTAAAAAAAAAGATTTAAAATGATAGGAGCAGATTAAGTACAATAAAGTAAATCACTTGTCCTTACAATTCAAATCAAGTAAAAGGAAGGAGGTAATAAATACAAGAATGAGTTAGATTATGATGGTTATGATAAGTAAACAGTACGGAGAATTCACAAAGCAACAGGTTGGTTCTTTTGAAAGGCTGACAAAACAAACAAACACTTGGCAAAATTTGTAAAAGAGAAAACGTTAGAAGGCACAGATAAATATTTTTAGGCATTATAAGGGGACACATATAGAGATACAGAAATGAAATAGTTTAGGAAGCTAAAAGAAAATTGATAATTTTAGTGCAAACAAATTTGAAAGTGTTGACGTTTTGTTAAGAGAAATGTTTAGGGTAAGGCAGCTTATTCCAAGCTTGAATATTTTTAAAACCATGAAAATATTATTCTTTTTAAAATTTTTAACGTTTATTTATTTGAGAGAAAGAGAGAGGGAGACAGAGGATCCAAAGCAGGTTCTACCCTCACAGCAGGGATGCGGGGCTCCAGCTCATGAAGTGAACCATGAGATCAGGACCTGAGCCGAAATTGGTAGTCGGCTGCTTAACCATCTGAGCCACCCAGGCGCCCCGAAAATATTTTTTTAAACTCTTTCCATAAAGAGAAGCAGAGGACTTCAGGAAGATTTCTTTGAAAATTTCATGGTTATATTTTTCAATTTTATATAAGCCGTTTTGGAAAATAGAAAAAGCATTTCTAAATACATTTCATAGGCTAGCTTAACATTGGCAAGGATAAAATTGCTATTAAAAACAGAGATAGTTTAATACTACATTGAATAAGCTTGATTTCACATTTCTGCCTCTTTATAACTATATAAAATATTATGGATTTGAAAAATACAATTGATACATAAAGCAAATCTACAATACAAATGATTAGCACAATAAGGTTAGTTAACAAATCCAGCAGGTCACATAATTACCATTTTATTGTTGTGGTGAGAACATTTCACTCTCTGTGATTTAAATATTTAATAATAAAATCTTAAAACAAACTTGACTAAATGCTAAGCTTTGTTAATTATGATTTGTGCGTATTACTTTACACAAGCATTTAAAAACTAAATTAAAAAATTTAATTAAATTAAAAAAAATTAAGAAAATGATTTTTTTCATGACATTTTATCGTAATTTTCCGCGAAAACGCTGTTCAATCCATGGCTTCATGCCTGTCACAAAACACACAAATGGCAAGTGCACTTGGAATGAAAACCAAAATTATAATGGGTGCACAAAGGTCCACACCTCTGGATTTAGTCTCTGCTTCTCTCTCCTCCCCTTCTTAAGCTCCTTGTCTTCTTCATCATTCTGCTCTTATCAAAATGGATTTTTTTTTTGGTAACTTTTTTCGGTTTGTGTATAGTAGGTACACGATGTTACATTCGCTTCAGGTATGGAAGCAGCCTAAATGTCCACCAATAGACAGATGGATAAGAAGACATGGTAGATATATATGGACATATATGATGGAATATCACACAGCCCTAAAAAAGGATGAGATTGTGCCATTTGTTGACAACATGGAAGGACCTGGAGAATACTCTGGTAAGTGAAATAAGTTAGGCTGAGAAAGACAAATACTATTGGATTTCACTCATATGTGGAATCTAAAACAGACGAATGAATGAACAAATAAAACGCAGAACCAGACCTATCAATACAAAGTGGCTTCCTTTAGAGTAACAGACTCTTCCAAATGCTGCTCACTTGCATGTTATTATTCCATTTGCCAAGAGTTCTGTCATCCTACTGGTTTGCCGAGAAACATCTTGGTCGCTCCACGGGTTTCACACTCAAACGCCATTTTTGCCTCGAAGCCTAGAAAGTCCGCTTCAAACTCAATTCTTCATATTCTGTATTTTGCAGCAGTCAGCGCTGTACTAGGGGGAGTAATTCAATTTCTACCAAAATGTGCTGTATTAAAATGGTAGTGGCATTTTGAAATTTTGAGGGTGTATCTGTTGACCTTTCAACCCTTATTTTGAAAATGTTTCAATATAGTAAATTTCACGAACCCTCATATACCCTTCACCCAGTTTAGATTTATTTGATTTTCAAAATTGCTAAAAGCCTTCTTAGTGTAAATTTTTGTGTACATTTAATAAACTCATAGTTTGAAATTTAGTTCAACCCTGGGTTTCATCAACAGTTTATTAAATGTAAAAATGAATCTGTTCGTTACCCAAAATTTTGCAAAAATTAAACAAAACATTCTTATAGAAGATAAGTTTTTTAACTTATTGGCCTTTATTCCCCTGCAAGATTATTTTTGTGTCAGGTCATAGATGGAAAAATAATACAATAATTATTGGTGGAATTTTCTGCTGGAACTTTTTTCCACAGCACATTTGGCAAAAGGCTTCTGTGTGTTTGAATCTTTTATATTTTATACATCATCAGCTTTTACACAATCCTCTGCATGCAGATGTATGTGTTTGGAGTTAAACAGTTTTCTGTATAAGCTTTAAAATTTGATCCATAAACTGCACAGGTTCCATTCTGCATGTCAACCATGGTTAGTCTAGATTAGAGAGAAAGACAAATTATATTCATCACTTACTTTATGAATACATAAATATAAAAAAATGCAATACAATTTATTTAAAAATAAGTATTAAAGTAATATCATTTCAGGATGTTTTAGGACCATGCTTGGTATCTCTTAGTTAAAAGATATGCAGAATATAGCCAACTCGGTTATAAAAGTAGAAGTTTCATTCTAGTATAGGTCACTATTTTGTCTACTTTGGAAATTTGTCATTTTAGGAAGTCTAGGCTCTCTTGGTATATGTACCTGAGCGAAATGAAAGGTTTTTGAAAAAGTTTTGTGTTTATATTTATTTTAAAAAGTTTTATTTTTATTTTGAAAGAGAGACAGTGGGGAGGGGCAGAGAGCGGGGAAGACAGAGAATCCCAAGCAGGCTCCGAGCTGTCAGCACAAAGCCTAATGCAAGACTGGATCGTGCAAAAACATGAGATCGTGACTTGAGCTGAGATCAAGAGTCTAGCACTTAACTGAATGAGCCACCCAGGAACCCTGAAATGAAATTTTTTAAATGTTTTTTTAAACAAATAAATGAGAAATGAAGTTAGAATTCAATGAGGTCAGCAGATGTCATGTTTTATGCAAAAATAAACAATCTTCTTTAGATATGTGCAACTTTACCTGGTAAGGAAATAAAAATAAATTGTAAAATTCTTATATATTTTATGTGTGTATATATACATACATATATAATATTATATCATATATAATATACATATGTATTATATATACATATGTGTATATATTTAGGTATATATAAATATATATATGTGTTTATAACATAAACTTAAACATATATATGTGCATGTGTGTGTTTGTAGGCATTCCATCTAGAGATAGTTCTATCTGTGTGTCTATTTTGCCTTGGAATCTGGTGATTGTTTTCTGCTAGGAACAGGTGAGAAATAGAAGGCTGAGCAAAGAGTGATGATGAATTGATGTGAATCAGAACAATAAAAAAAAAGAAAGACTGTGGTCTGATAGTACGTATTTAAAAGGACAAGAGGAGATGGGGAGCCTGGGCGTCTCAGCCAGTTAAGTGACTGACTTTGGCTCGGGTCATGATCTCAAGGTTCATAGGTTCGAGGCCCGCATCGGGCTCTGTGCTGACAGCTCAGAGCCTGGAGCCTGCTTCAGATTCTATGACTCCCTGTCTCTCTACCCCTCCCCAGGCTCACATTCTGTCTCTCTCTTTCAAAAACAAACATTAAAAATTTTTGAAAAAATAAAAAAAGGACCAGAGAAGAAACTCAGCCTATATAGAAACCACTACCTACTATAAGAGAAAAAACAATTAAGAAATTTTTAGTAACTGCTCTTAGTTGGTCTCAATCTTTGCACATTAGAGTTTCACTTTTAAATTGGACTTTGTTTTTCTATTCCTTTCAGCTTCTGTGTCTGTTTTCCCATACCATTCACATCGCATGTCCACCACAGCATAACTCTGGATTTTACTTGTTTAAAACCATATCTCTGACTGAAGTGTGAAAGTCTTGATGGAGTTCTGTACTATTCATCCTTGTAGTTATCTCTGTATGGTTTCTGGAAATTGAGTAATGCTCAACAAATACTTATCACATGCACAAAATGAAACTTAATATGCTAGCTGTTTTGCTTTGGCTTCCAAAACAAACTTTTGCACTTGCAGAGTGATAAATATTGAGGTAAGGTGATACAAAATTTTATTAGTAGTTCCAGAGAATAAACTTTTTTTTTTTTTTGCCAAAAATAAAATCCAGCCATACAGAAATGAGATCACCCCAGATCAATTCTAAGATAAACTGGGACATCCAAATTCTAAATATATAATGAATAGTCCCTGACAATGAATATAAGGGGACATTTGAAAGAAAAAGATGACAGTAAGAGGTCATTCATTGATCACTGCCAACTAAGCGTTAAAGAAGCAAAGTAAACTCCAAAATCAGTGAGAAGAGATTCTTTAAAGTCATTTAATGATAATTCTGGCTGTAGTGTAAGAAAGGGATTTATTTGACTCTCTACCACAATTACTCGTTTTATAGCTTAAGTGAATTATTATACATTCTAAGATTCTGTTCCTTACCCACAAAATTAGGTTAAAAATGACCTCTGTTAGATGCTTTTTAAGAGTCTTCAATGAGAAGATACATATAAAGTGCTTAAAACTGTCTTCCAGAAAGAACCGAATTAACCTGACATTAGCAAGGATGTTGTTGTGATGTTTTTGTTACTTACTCCAGAATTAGAGGTTCAAATAAGTAAAGTATACTTGAAGTAACGAATTAAAAACTTTTAGAGTCCAAAGAACTTCTGTTTCCTCTGTGATATCACGAGACTTAAGGGCAGCAGACCTGATAAACCACTTCGGTTTTATTTCTGAGATTTGTGCTAACATGGTGAAATTACTAAGCCAGGTATCCTAAGTGATAGAAGTGACCTTTTAAGAGAGCTACCCTAGCATTCATCCAAAAGAGTAAGCCTGTATTCATAAACTCTGTGAGCGCTAGGATGTTGTCACGTGGTCCTGCTATGCCCAGTTGAGCTGTATAATCAAGTGGTTAAAAGAGCAGGCTATAGAAATGGAATACATAGGACACTGGAGAGTCCACAAAGAGCCAGACGGCTGGAGTTCTCAGGACATAGGACTTGAGATGAGAGAGGTGAACAAATAAAGAGATCTGAGGATATGCAGAAGATCTCACTTGCGTATTTAAGAGTATTGATTAATGCATGTGTGTAAGAAAACTTTCCTAGTGCTTGCACAGGGTCTAAAATCGTGCCTGTCTTCACCACCCATATTGCAAAACTTCAAATTTCAAAAGGCTTTGGGTAGATTACTTAAAAGTGTCTTTGCTTGGTAGTGGGGCATAATTCATTGTAGACTGAGCATTCTAGTAATGCTTAAAAGCAAGGCCAAACCAGATCAAGCTGTTTCCAAGTAGCTTATTTGTGTCCTGGGGGAAAAAAAAAGAGCTCATGAATAATTTTAGAGACAAAAAATATGTAGCACTAAACAAGGGTGAAATTCACAGTGTATGAAATTAAATAGAAAAGTAACTGTAAGCGAAGACACAAAATAATGTGACCATAAGGAGGAGAAAAATCCATCGATTAAAATTGACCCAGAACGAACACAGATGTTAGAATGAACAGACAAGGATATTGTGATAGGTTTTTGGTTTTTTGGTTTTTGTTTTTTTTTAATGCTTATTCACTTTTGAAAGATGGAGAGAGACGGAGCACGAGCAGGGGAGGGGCAGAGAAAGAGGGAGGCACAGAATCTGAATCAAGTTCCAGGCTCTGAGCTGACAGCAGAGAGCCCAATGCGAGGCTTGAACTACAAACAGTGAGATCATGACCTGAACTGACGTCGGACCCTCAACCGACTGAGCCACCCAGGCGCCCCAGATATCATGACAGTTTTGATGACTGAATTCCATATACTCAAAAAAGTTAAAAGAAATACATGGAAGATTCATGAAATAGCAGCCAAATCAAACTTCCGAAATGAAAAGGTCAGTGTCTGAGATGAACTATACACTTGAAAGGGTAGTGAAAATTAGATATTGCAGGAAAAAAGATTAAAAAAATTGAATTCGGGACAATAGAGAATATCCACAATGAAACACAAAGAAAACAAGTGAAAAGAACACCAGTTCATCACAATTCTAACTTGCTTAATGGATCTGTAATTGTCCTGTGTCTGGGGAAGAGAAAAGAGAAATGAAGAAGGGGAAACACTTGAAGGAATAATGGTAGTTAAATTTTCTAATTGTGCTTGAAAATTATAAACCCACAGATCCGAGAGCCTCAACAAAACGCGAGCACAAGAAATATGAAAAAACTAATCCAAGGCATATTACGGACAAATTCCTCAAACCCTGTTATAAAGAAAAATCATTAAAGCAGTCAGAAGGAGGGAAAATGATGTATTACGGGCTGACTAAATGGATTAAAAACAAGATACAACAATATGCTGCCTGCAAGAGACGTACTTTAGCTTTGAGGACACACATAGGCCAAAAGTGAACAGATGGAGAGTCATATTCCATGCAAATGATAACCAAAACAGAGCAGGTGTGGCTATAGTTATGGCAGACAAAATAGACTTTAAGTCAAAATCAGTCACACAAGACAAAGGAGGTCACTATGTTATAGCAAAGGGGTCAGTTAATCAAGGGGATAAAACAAGTTTAAATAACGGACCGTAACAAGTGTCGCCCATAATGCAGAGCAAATGGAACTCTCACACCCTGCTAGTGGGAGGGTAAAATGGCACAGTCATTTTGGGTAGTAGTTTGGCAGTTTCTTAAAAGGTCAAAGGCATACCTATTATCCAACCATTCCACTCCTAGATATTTATGTAAGAGAAAAGAAAGCCTGTGGTCATACAAAGACTTGTACACAAATATTCATAGCAAGTGGCTTTGTTGTTCATGGTCAACAACTGGAAGTTACCCAAATATCCATCAGCAGGGGAAAGGATAGACAAATTGAACTACACCCATAAATAAGATACCTCTCAAGAATAAAAAGAAATTAGTTCTTAATACATGCTTTGAGGTGGCTGGATCTCAAAATAATTATGCCGAGTGAAAAAGCCAGACATAACAGCAGTGCCTCCATTGATACTAAGTTCTATAAATTGCAGACTAATCTATAGTGACAGAAAGCAGACTAGTTGCCTGGGGACGGAAAGAGGTAGGTAGAAAGGGGGAGAAAGGAGGCGCGTCTGGGTGGCTCAGTCAGTTAAGCGTTCGACTCTTGATTTGGGCTCAGGTCATGATCTCATGGTTCGTGAGATGGAGTGCCAGTCTGAGCTCTCGACTGACAGCACAGAGCCTGCTTCGGATTCTCTCCCTCCTTCTTTCTCTGCCTCTGCTCTGTTTACGTGTGTGCTCTCTCTCTCTTACACACAATAAATAAATAAACATTAAAAAAAAGAAAGGAGTAGGAAGGAAAGATTACAAGGGTGCAAAGGAAAGTTTGGCAGGTGATAAATGTTGATTCTCTTGATGTTATTAACGGTTTTGTGGATGTATACATTTCTCAGAATTTATCAAATTGCACATTTCAAATATATGCAGTTTCTTGAATGTAATTGTATCTCAACAAGTCAGGTAAAACCTGAAAGAATGAATATATGTGATACTTAACCTCTCTGCTTTAGTCTCCTTATCTGTAAACGGGTGTAGTATTAGACTTACCTTGCACTGCACTTGGCACATTGCAATTAATGTTACTCATTGTTGTGGTATTGGCTGCTCTTCCTAAATTTAGGCCCTCAGAGCTTTCTGCTGAAACTATTAGAATATGGGAGCATCCTGGGATTGTGTGAGGTAACGTGATCGTTGAAAGACCACAGGGCTAGTTTAGGGACAAACCCCCGAAGAGACACCGATTGGTATAAACTTACTGGTCGGGTAAGAGAATGCTGCCATCTTCCCATTGCCATGATCCATTTGGTGGCGTTTGTATTAGTCCCATCCAATGATAAGACTTCACCAATTTTAGGAAATCCTGGTTGAAACCACAAATAGAACCAGTGCTAAGACTTTTAGTCAATTCAAGGCCATAATCATGTAATCATTTTTTTCCTCACACTCGGGGAAATGGATTCTGTCCTCTAGCCTAATTCTGACTTAAACAACACCATACCTAATACCTACAAAATGCTTTCTTATTTTTAATGCAGAAAGACTGAGGGTAGACATATCTGGGTTAGTGCCCCTCTTATGTTTCAGGTAATAGTCCAGTGATTAGGAGTAAATAGAGGAAGGGAAGTTAAAATAAATACTCAACCTGGTGTTCTCTGCTGTATATCTTCAAGAGACTGGAATTTTGAGACACACAAGAGGCTTGGCTTTGGTACCAGCTTTTGCTTTCATTAAAAAATTGGTAGCAGGTATTTCTATAACATATCCAGTTTTTAGGACATGGGCCACAATAACTTTCTAGAAAGGGAGAATATGTTATTAATTCTGTACAGGTCTGAGCATTATAGCAGATTCTGCCTAGACAAATTAAATACCTTTTATTCCAACTCTAACATTTCAGACGAGCCAATCTGATCATCTCCAATGACATGGCCCCACACATTTGTATATATACACAGATGCCAAAGACTAAGTATTTTCTGCTTTTTACGAGCACTCCTTCATTGTTAAAAGATGAACAAATAAAATAAAAATGTTGGAACGCTACGGATTACGGACAAGAATTCATCATTTTCTTATACACGCTCTTGTTAACACTGTGGGACACATGCCTATACCCAGTTATACAGAGATACATGTAATTTGTGCTTCAAAATATTAGAAGACTTTCACTTACCTTGTAAAGGAAGTGGAGCTTCTTGGTGGAATAATGCTATTAAAATAATCATTGAGAGGATTAAGAGGTACAAACTTCCAGTTGTAAAATAAGTATGTTATAAAGATGACAAGTAGAACACAGGGAGGATAGTCAATAATATTGTAATGACCTTGTATAGTGACAGATGGAGATTATGCTCTCCGCAGTGGGCATTGAATAATGTATACAAGAATCGAATTACTACCTTGTACACCTAAAACCTTGTATGTAAGACATATTTCAATAACAAAAAACCATAATTAGTAAAAGGGTTTGTGTTGTTAGTAACTTACAGTTCTAGCAGAAGTAGTTGACAAATTTCTAGACGGATAGCAAAAATATAAGGACACGTCCAGTATTATTAGTTTTTGTTGCTGTGCATCTGAATGCTAATCAAAGTAATGCATTGCAACCATCAGGTCAAGAAGGCTCTATGTAGGCCAATGGGCACATGAAAAGATGCTCAACCTCAGTCCTCATTAGGGAAATACAAATCAAAACCACACTGAGATACCACCTCACGCTGGTCAGAGTGGCTAAAATGAACAAATCAGGAGACTATAGATGCTGGTGAGGATGTGGAGAAACGGGAACCCTCTTGCACTGTTGGTGGGAATGCAAACTGGTGCAGCCACTCTGGAAAACAGTGTGGAGGTTCCTCAAAAAATTAAAAGTAGATCTACCCTATGACCCAGCAATAGCACTGCTAGGAGTTTACCCAAGGGAGACAGGAGTACTGATGCATAGGGGCACTTGTACCCCAATGTTTATAGCAGCACTTTCAACAATAGCCAAATTATGGAAAGAGCCTAAGTGTCCATCAACTGATGAATGGATAAAGAAGTTGTGGTTTATATATACAATGGAATACTACTTGGCAATGAGAAAGAATGAAATCTGGCCTTTTGTAGCAACGTGGATGGAACTGGAGAGTGTTACGCTAAGTGAAATAAGTCATACAGAGAAAGACAGATA